CGTTTAATTGCTTCGGATTATGCAAGATGCGACCATATCACAACCCCCATCGCGAGATAAACAAGTACGAGGACAAAATCGCTATCGGTGCCAGATCMTTATCCCATCTACAGCTGCATCAGTTGTGAGCAAAGGTTYGACACAAACAAAGGTAAGGACCGGGATTCTCARCAGTGATGTAGATGCGCAAGCATAACATCCCTACATCCATACATTCGGCAATCATACACATCGCGCAATCGAGATGGACAAAAGCAGGGACAAGTGTGAGCAAAARCCSAAGTCTCGGTTCCCGAAAGCCGAAAATGAAAATAAGAAYGGGCAAACCGCCCGRAGCCGTAATCAAAATGTATGTACACAAACGAAGAGGGGGAAGAGACAAAGAAACAGCRAACCCACGTCCATCGACCTCAACTCTCTCTCCTTCTCTTCTCTCTCTCCRATGCGGACARTCCGTCRTCACGCACCCAYCCACGAAGTTGTCACCCCGCTTAGTCCTCCCGCACCCGTCGGATTCGCCCGTGCCCACAGTCYGTCGTGGYCCACGTCAATCCCGCGCGTTCGGCACCAGCYCGTCGGGCCGCCCAACTCCTACTCTACTCACCTCTTACTTCGCTCGTGTGCCGACCCTTCCTGRTCGCGCAACCCCGAGCTTCCAACAACAGGTCAAGAGAGCTGACTAATCGCGCAGCCGAAATTTATAGCGTGCATGCATGCGCGAAGAACACGGAATTACCAGGACTTAGAGTGGGGATTAGGGAAGCGCCTGCGTTCTGCATGATCGGCCGCGGCGTGGGGGACGTAACCCTTCTCCACACATCGATCCGAGCATGCAAGCCGCGGCTCACAGCAAAAGAAAGAGAGGGAGAGCGGGAGAGACGAAGTGTAAGAGGAAAGATACAGTTACAATGGCGCCCGCCCAAAATTGCAGTCACACACACGATTAAGGGCGCCCACTAATCACAGTACCGTTGCAGCCACACGAAAAAGCACGTAGACAAAAGGTGCAGCGCGGCAGAAAAAGTCCTAATTACTGAATTCTTAAATTCCTATCTAGTGCGAAAAAGTAAAAAGCACACATTCCAGAAAGAAAGTCCAAAATCCCGAGAGCCATCGGGGCTCGGCAAAATTCGAAAAAGATTTAAAAGGAAATTAAAAAAGAACGAAATAATTTTCCGCGCGATGTCCGCGCCCAAAAGATCGAACCCGAAACGAAAGAAACGACGTCAACATTTATTAATCGCGCGCGTGGTGGCACGCCAGACATCCATCCGACCAATCGCCCAGCCGACCGTCCCCGGACACACCCAACCCCGATGAAGCGACGAAAAAGGCGAAGAAGCAAGGGTACTGATGCAATTTTTCACCGATCCCGATTTCCCATAATTGGCCCAATCTTCCCAGCTTAGGACCCCTCGTTGCAATCGCGCAGAAACTCGCACGTTACAGAAAGTGGTTCGTCACATATGTGATGCCCAGGGGGTTCCAATATTAGCAAGCTCCTGCTTGCTTGTTGACACGTGTTGATTTCTCTAATCGATCGACACGCGGAACACTTCTCTTTATGCCACTTACCGTTTGATACCGTGTGGACGTCATCCAACGCGGCAACTTGGCTCTTCTACTATCTCCTCAGATTGGGCTCTCAACAATTCAAGGACGGGATCTTTCTCATGTCGTCGCCGCGACACGCGTCCATTACCTGCTGCATCAGTAATTAACCGGGAGGGGGAAAAGAAGTTGGTACGTGGCGACATGGCGGGGCGGAGGGCTTAGGGGTAGCGGTGGCAGGAACCTTTCCATCCCGGCTGCAGTCTTTGGGAGTTCTTGGTAACGGACAATGCGGTGGAGACGGGGGAATCGATTGCCAGTGCGAAGGAGGGACGCGAGATAGTCGGGGTAGAGGGTGGTGAAGGTTCGGAAGAGCGCCGGGTGGAAACGATCGCGATCCTCGCATGCGGGGATGGTCCCCGTTATCATGCAATAAACCTCAATCATATTGTGGCCTCGTCACGCTGCACTGAAAAGCAAGACATGGAGGCAAAAGGCCGGGACGGCGCATCGGAGGGAGGGGTGGGGATGCACTACGACAGCGAGGTGAGTGGCGTAGAAGTGGCGGAAGGTACTGCGGGGGAATGGATTGGAGGGGAACGTAACGGGGGTAGTGAGCTGGCGAAGGGTGAGGTATTCAAGGGGACGACGAGAGAGTGATCGGGGACGAAGGCCGATCGCCCGTATCGGTACATCGGCGAACTGGGGGACGGGTTGGGAAGGAGGGGGATCGGCTTCGCTGCCGTGCCGATGAGGCCGGAGTCGTGGCCGCGAGGTCACCATCTTCAGGTCGGGGCGGTTCCAGATCACGGTTCGGTTCGTCGCAGATCTGCAGACTCGCCGCGCTTGCGAGTTCTAACTCCTTCTCGGCAGCGATCTCTTCCCTTTTACGGGCCGCCTCGGGATCTTCTGCCTCTGTACCTGTGCGCAGCGCTTCTTCCGGCACGGCTTCCCACTCTGATCCAACAGATTCTTCTTCGTGCCCTTTGTCTTCCTCCTCGTCTTCTTCTTCTTCTTCGCTCGGTTCCCCCTCGCTGTGCTCGCTATAACTTCCTTCTTCGAGGGTTTCGTTTTCTCCGGATACTTCTTCGCTACCCCCGCTTTCTTCCAGCCCGCCTTCGTTTTCGTCGCTCCCGGTACTCTCCTCCTCCTCCTCTTCTTCCCGAATGGCAGCAAACTGTTTCGTCGTAGGCTGGCTGAAGAAGGCAGGGTCACGAATCGCCCGGGGATCCAAATGTTGTCGCTGCAACGGCGGGATGCATTCCGCGGCTCCTTCTACGCAAGCCGACCACTGAAGATGAGGTGTCAAGGTGCGAGAAAGGACATGGGGAACTGGATGCTCGTCGTCTTGCGAGATGATGTCAAGAGGGAGGTTGTCCGCCAGCTGCGCTACCGGGATCGTGAGCTCTTGCGTGATAAGTTCCTGATGGTCGAGCCGTACTGCACCGGATAAGAATGCGAGGAGCTCTCCCTCCACGTTGGTGCGCCAGGCTTGGATAAACAGCAACTCCAGCCGCTCTATGCAAGGCGGGTGCGCTTCGTCCTCGATCCACGTCAGCCGTACTTCGACCAAGCACAGTGAAAGTTCTACGAAGTCTTCGCCACAGGTCCCAGTATGGGGGACGAATGTCGGGGACAGCAAGGGTCGTTAAACAGTAGGAAAGGCGAGGATGGGCGTCGGACTGCCAGAAGGTGGGGAAGGTGGAGGGGAGATCAAAGATAGAGATCGGAGAGAGACTCATTGGGGGCGAGGGAAAGGAACAACAACAGGGAGAACCGTCGGTGGATCACGCTTGTACATTCGAAGGCCATCGTATTCGATTGCTCCCGTCGCCGCGACCGTGTCCCCGGGACGAGCCAGAAGCTGGTCCCACTCAGCAACCAGATCGTTTGCCCAAGCACGTAGCGACGCCTTAACTGCAAAATGTCGTAAGGGAAGAAGCGTGGAGAGATCGCCACGGAAGTTGATGACGACCGATATGCGGTTGACACCTGGCACCGCTCGCTGATGAACTGCTACCGCCTCGGCCAATACCACTGTGTTGGGCCGACCTTCGATTCTGAACACTGTCGCTGCATACACGCCTTCCGTACAGAAGAAGTGCGCAAGCCGCCGAAGGTCTGGACTGAGGTAGGGATGATAGACCTGCCGGATCGTCAATTGATCACGGGGCGCAAGCGCTGCTTCGCTGAGGGCTCTCTCCTCCAGAAAACTCATGGCGATGGTGATGGGGACGGGGAGGCAGAGAGGGAGCGAGAGGGAGAGGGAGATGCCGAAGAGGCAGAGCCCTCGTCCTCTACTTCCTCAGAGAGAGAAAAAGAGGGAGACGGAGTCGGAGCAGAGGGGAGGAGGCGAAGATAGGACACGTGGCGTGTGATTGGACGAGCCGATCGACTGCCAGAGACTTCAGGGGCGAGGCGCACCGTGTCCACGCCGTTGGGGCCGAGCTCGATCACGCGATATCGCCCGAAGAATCGTGGCGCTAGCTTACCCTGGCGAGCACATTTCCTCACCTGCACCACGTCCCCCAATTTGTACTGGGGCCGCGGACCCGCATTCCCATTTCGGGCTTCGTAGCTCCGGACCTTTCGGCCTTGGGCTAGTTCGGTCATTTTCTGTCGTTTTCGGGCTAGCCTGGGCAGTGACCGTTCCATTAACTCTAGGTGTCGTTTGGCCTTGTCCCGAGCTGTGACCCTGGTGGGCCGTCGGGTTAATGTAGTCTCATCCGGGAGGCTCGGTATCGAAACGCAAGCGACACTATTGGTCCTTAATTGGAAGGGGCTTAGCCCCGTCGGTTCGTGGGGCGTTCCGCGATGGACCGCCAGGATGTGATCGACGATATCGGGCTAAGGTCTCGGATCCCGTGGCCCGATGTTTCGTCGCAACGCTGTATTTACTACCCGGTTAGCGTTTTCGACCAGCCCGTTGGACTGCGACATGTGAGGTGCAGTGTTCTGTATGGCGACGCCGTGTAGGACCAGATTCCTTAACACTTCTCCCCTGAATTCAGCCCCATTATCGGTTAGGATTTCCTCCGTATCCTGATGCATCCCGAGGAAACGGTTGACATATCGCGCGATTTCCGTGGCTTGCCGCATGCGACAAGGATACGCTTCGATGCATTTCGAGAAATGGTCGACAAATACCAGCAGGACTGAATACTCGCAACTATTAGGACCAGGGGGCACCACTATGTCGGTAGTGTCCATGCTCACTCTTTGAAATGACCGTTCAACAACCGTGGGCACTATCGATCTGGGCGGCTGGATCGGCGCCTTGTCAGCGGCGCAGACCTGACAGTTGGCGACAATGTATTTCACATCGTCGCGGATATTGGACCAATACCACTCGTTTTTGTCGATAGCGGACTCCGTGATCTGTACGGCAAAATGGGCCGCAATTTCCTCGTGAGTTGTCTTAACCCTGTCATACCGCATGAATGGATGCGGTACTACCATCCAAATCCCACTGCCGTCCGTTTTCCGTTTTTCCAATCTACCCTCTATCCATCGATAATCCCGAGCCCTTTCGTTGGCCCTCCTCCGATCTTCTTTGGCGAAATCCTGGAGGGGGTTACCTACTAGGGTGGCAATTAAGGCAATATCCGTCCATACTTCGGCCCTTCTAAACTTTCGGGTCTTTTCCAATCCTTCTGACGTGGCATCCAAAAATCGAGCCTCCGTAGGAATCTTGTTGGTCCGGCACAAGGGGCACAACCATGGTCTACTATCGTTTCTGTATTGGATGCACGAGCCATGGGCTCGTGCAACACACTGTCGGCAATCTATCCAATCCGCATACCCCTCCTCGTTAGGACGCATGGGGACCGAATATACGCGGGAAATAGCTTCGCAAAAATAGCAGAATTTGTCGGGCAGGGAGAGGAGAGACGAAGAGGAAGGGGGAGAGAGAGGGATAGTGGGGTTACCTCCATCACCCATCGTCGCCGTTTTACTTCTTGCCACGTGGAAGAACTGCCAATTTGTCCGTATTTCGGCTCGTGGGTCAAGTCCGGCTCCTTCCCCGGTGTAATTTCCTCACCCTTTGGTACCTTGGCAGGCCGGTGCAGACGTGTCAGCCCGTCCGCGTTGTCGTGTCGCTCTGTCTTTCGATGGACGATATCGAAGTCGTATTCTTGTAATCGCACCACCCAACGGCCAATCATGCCCGTGTAGTTGGTGAGTTTCTTCAGCGCCAGCAGAGGCTCGTGATCCATTACGAGGCGGAACTTCTATCCGTAAAGATACGGATGAAAGTGTTGCATTCCCCAAACTACTGCATAGCACTCACCCTGAGGTGCGGAGTCGTTTCTTCGTTCGTCCGGTATGGTTCGTGACGCGTACTCGATGACGTGTTCGCGACCATCGTTCCCCTTCTGTGCTAAAATAGCGGAAATAGCTTCCGGTTGCCAGTCCGTAATGAGAATGAACTGTTTCGAGGGGTCCGGTCGGATCAAAATAGGGGCCATTGCCAGAGCGTCCTTGAGAGTTGCAAAAGCCTGCTGGCACTCCGCGTCCCAGCTGAGGGGCTGGTCCTTCCGCAACAGATTCGTTAGTGGTCGTGCAATCGCGGCAAAGCCCTTGATGAAACGTCGGTAGAACGACGTCAATCCCAAGAAGGCTCGAACCTGCGTCAGTGACGTGGGAACCGGAGCTTCCTTCACCGCCGCGACTTTTCTCGAGTCTGGCCGCAATCCTCCACGTGTCACGATATAGCCCAGGAACGAAATTTCCGAGAGGAAAAATTCGCTCTTCTCAAGCGCAATCTTGAACCCAGCGTCTCTTAATGCACTCAATGTCCATTCGATGTGTTGCGCGTGTCCGTGATAGGTCTCCGAATAGACCAGGATGTCGTCCATATACACGATCACGCAGAAGTTAATCATTCCCTGCGTCAGCCGTGTCTTGTTGACGAAGTTCTGGAACGTCATGTTCAAACTTGCTGAAATAATTAGCGCACCCAATCGCATCCAACAAATCATCAATCCGGGGGAGGGGATACACTTCTTTGATCATGATTTCGTTCAGCTTTCGATAATCAATGCAAATGCGAATCGCCCCATTTTTCTTTGGTACTAACACTACGGGAAAGGACCAAGGTCCGGTAGCGGGTTCAATCCAACTGCTGGCTTCGAACTCTCGAATTCGTTCGAGAGCCTTTTTGCATTCAATCAAGGAATATCAATAAGGTTTGCAATGAATCGGGGAGTGATTTCCAGTCTGAATTTCATGTTGGATTACTAATGACAACCTAATGTCAGTGTCTGACACACTAATCGCTCCTTGATATTCCGTTAGAATATCCGCAATTACCCGGTGGATTTCATCTGGTACATATTGTGGAACGTGTAGTTCGAAAAGTTGGTTCCAGATCCGAACGTCAATCTGTTTCGTGTTCGCCTGTTTTGTCAAGTCGGGTGGAGGCGCCAAGATGAATGAATGGTCCGATCGCCAGGAGAACACCGTGACCATCATCTGAGCATCCTCTTCGCGGATGGCCACGTGTCCTTCCGGGGTAATCCCGTCACAAACATCCTGCCATGGCACTTCTTTAGTTGCAATCTTTATCCCTAGTCCGTCTGTTTCTGCTTCGAAACGCCCAGGGGGTTCCAGAGAGCTTGCCTCTGCCCCTAAGCGTAACAATCTCACTTCTTTAGCTGATGTTAGTAAGGACTTGGGTAGATCCGTAATATCACAGTAATGCTTCTTGTCGCTATACCTGGCGAGGAGAGGGGTGATCCCTTCGTACAGAGTCTGAGGGGGTTCCAAAGAGTCTACCATCCTCGAAATCTGCACGAGGGGCTCTCCCAAGGTCATCGCCTTGGTTCTTTGAATTTTTCAGCTGGTCAGTTGCATCGTTCTCGCTATCGTTTTGGGCGGAGGGTAGCAAACACACTGTCGTGCTAATTTCAAGATTTCTGGATCATCTTCGTCACTGCTTTCTGTCTCATCAGTGACTTCTCCCTGGCGGGTTCATCCCAAGAGATCATGCGGGGAGTCCCTGCCATCATCGGCGAAACCCGTGGAACCTCGTTAAGGGTAGTGCGGAGGGTCAATCGCATGGGCACAGCGTAGGGTTTTCCTTCTGTATTTCGGAGGACGATCGATCGTCGTTCGAAATCCAGGTTTGCTCGTAACGCCACGAGAGCGGGAAGTCCAAAAAGAACGTCGTACGTATTGACATCTAGTACTATGACATCCCCAAGCGCGTGCACTTTACCCAAGCGGAAGGCAACATTGGTCATTCTTCCTACAGTTTTAATCCTTTCTTCGTCAGCCGAAACGAGCTGATCTGTCTCAGAAAGCATGATCAGGTCGTTTTTCTTGCCAGCCCTTTCGACCACTCTTAGTGAGATAGCCAACACAGCTGCTCCTGAATCTATTATCGCGCTGTACGAAATTCCCCAAATTTCAATATCACATTCCGCGGACTTCCACGAAATCGGTTTAATCCGTAAGAAGTGATCGTCTTTCTGAATTAATCCCACCCGTATTGGGTCCGGAGTGCTCGTTGGGTTTTCTTCCGGCGCGGGGCCTTTTGCTTTGGCACTTGGTGTTCGGGCGAGGGCAAATCGTTTTCGGTTTGCTTTGCAATGCCGTAGCATTCGCTCGTTGGCTTGCTCGGAGATCGAGAGTAGATGACCGATTGGTAGTGGAATCCGATGGTCCAAAGCTCGGATGATGTTTAATACATCGATCTCTCCTGTGACGAAGGTGGGTCCTCCCGACTCCATTTCTCCTAAGGACGGTCGCCACTCCGCCACCTCTTTTGGTTCTGGCGCTGGTCTGATTGTTCCGATCATTCCTAGCCCAGGATATCCCAACGACACATACTGATCTAGCGGAATTAGCTCGGCGGCCTCTTCCGAGGTAGCCAGGGCACTTCCCCCACCCTCTACTTCTTCCATCAAGGCTCCGACTCGTCTAGGTCCATTGGCGATGGGGGCCGTTGCCATAGGTGCGACTCCCATCCGTTGTTGTGGGGGTCGGTGGGGGCAATCACGGGCTAGGTGTCCGGGCTGATGACAGGCGTAGCAAACATTCAGATTGTTCGCAGCTCCTCCGAGAGCAGGGGCAGGAGCTAATCCTTATTGCATCGGAGGGGCACGCACCGCAATAGGTCGCATGCTCTTCATCATGACTTCCAACCGAGCATTGTGCTCTCGCTGTTCTTTCTTGCTTTCTTGGATTAAACTAATCAATATTTTGGTTAGTTCGAAAATGGTCGTTGATTCATTCGATCGTACGGGAGCCTCAACTGGTGGCGGGGGTAATGCCCTAACGGGCAGGGGCATCATAGGAGCAGAGATGCTCGGAGTCTCGCTTAGGATTACTCGCTTGGGGCCTATCTGTTCCATATAAGTGACAGGTCCTAATACAAATCCCATGTTTTCAAATTTGTTCTGCAAAGCAGCCAGTTCTGCTCTTGCTCGTATGAGCTCGGTCAAATCTCCGTCTCTAGGGTAGTCTTCTCCTTCCAGGAAGTTCGCTGCGAACTTCCGTTCTATTTCTTCCGCGACAACCATAATTTGCTGTAGCGTATGAGTGATGGGGGAAAACTGCGTTCGCAACTTAGTCCTTATTGTTCGACTGCGGAGTCCATCAATGAACAGATCTCTCCCTACTTGCTCTCCTCGCTCAGTTTTTACGAACATCCTGTAGAACCGGTTTCGATATTCCGCAACGGATTCGAGCGGTGTTTGCACTCGGTCCTTGATCATGTACAATGTCTGCTCAAGAAGAACATAATCAAATCGGTTCATGAAATCCCGTTCGAAGGTCGGGAGATCCACCCATACATAGGTACTGTACCAATGATGAGCGTCTCCTCCCATTCGGGCCGGAATGTTGATCTGTGCTTCGTGATCATCGTACTGCTGTGCTCTAAGCGTGGCCAGCCATGCTCCTGCAAGATGGTGCGCCGGATCAAATAGATAGAGATCTGGTGGCGACATGGGAGCTCGTGCACGTGGGGCAGGTTGGTTAGGTAGATTAGCAGTTTGGTGCGGAACTGAATTTTGCACGTTGGCAGCTATATTGGCTGCTCGTCGGTTAGCCGCTCTGCTTCTGGTGATATTAGGGTCGAGTCTAGGCGTGTTCCGAGGGCGAGGTCGCCCACGGTTAGCCAGGTCGCCTATTTAACGTGCTATCAATCCTAAGACCCTAGCCACGTGTCGGGCTCCGATACCAACCTCACGCCCAACGCGACTTCCTGATCGGAGTGGGATGTGGGCCAGGAAGTGCGAAAAGGGGTGTGCCAAGGATTTTGGGGAAAGTGGGGGAGTCTTAAGGGTATGAATGCAATTAGGCGAGTCAGGGGTGCGTGAGCAAGGGACTCACGGTCTGGTGGGGCCGGGGCACTGTGGGTGACGCGTTACGGGGAAGTCCCTCCGTGGTGGGGGTGGTCCTGAAAAGTTAGGCCGTCGGGGGCCGCCACGTGGCGCAGGTCGCCGCGCGCCCGGGTTGGGCCTTCGGAATTCCGGAGTTCTC